GTGTCTGGATCTTGATCCTTGCTGCCATGACATGACCCCTACCCCCTTTTCCTCTTCTTTTTTTCAGTATCGGCCTCAGACATGCTCAGCCCTCTACCATTGAGTTTTTCATGTGTCAGCCTTGGGTACTGTTAGCCAGCCCTGGTATCCATCTTTCTCTGCTTCCCCAAGCTGGGATTACAAGCATGCACCATCACCGCCTTTTAAACATGGGTTCTGCACGGCAAGTTTCACATACTGAGCCATCTCTCTGGCCCTTCAGTATTTTTAGCTAAGAACTGTTTGAGAGGTAGTCTCACTGCGTTCACACTAGCATCGGACGCCCAGTGTCAAGTGCCCTTCGCATCACTGACAGGCATTTCGTCCTTTGCCTTCTGAGCATTGCTCTCCATTTTTCATGGGCTTTTACGCCCAGGCCGCAACCTCCCGCAAGTCTTCTACATCCTCTTAAAGCCCTCATCAAAGCCTCTCCTTCACTTGTGCCCAGGGAATCTAGACTTACCACCCAGAGTCTTTTAACAAATCTCTAAATCACCTTCTCTCTACTAAAACTATAGCTGGTGAATACAAGGGCTTTATCTACAAATGAAATGACAGTTTGTCTTCCAAGCTTTGCATTTTCTTTGTCTCTTATTTAAAAATGTTTTTTGAAGACAAGAACAACTTTATTAGAGCGTAGAAGAAAAGCAAACAAACAAGCTTTCCACTCAGCAGCTTCCTGGAAAAGGAGAATGGAAGCGAAGGAAGAACAGCGAGGTCAGACGCTTGGCTGACGAGCTGTCACGTGGGGGAGAGAGGGAAGGAAGCTTGGGAAAGGAAGCTCCAAGTATTAAGGAAAGCATATTTAGAAAAGAGATGGGCCAGGCTGTTGTGGCACATGCCTTTAATCCCAGCCCTTGGGAGGCAGAGATAAGTGGATCTCTGTGAGTTCGAGGCCAGCCTGGTCTACACAATGAGTTCCAGGACAGCCAGAGCTACACAGAGAAACCCTACCGTGAAAAATAAACAAACAAAAAAAGAAAAGAAAAGAAAGAAAGAAAAAGGAAAAGAGGTCATCAGTGGTTAAGAGCACAGGCTGCTTTCACAGAGGACCTGGGTTCAGTTCCCAGCACCCACGTGGTGGCTGACAACTGTCTGTGCTCCATTTCCAGGTGATCTGATGCCCTCTTCTGACCTCCGCTGGCACCAGGCACACAGGTGGTACACAGACATACATGCAGGCAAAACACCCATGCACATAAAACAAGCATTTTTTTTTTTTAAAGAGAAAGTTGGGCATAGTGGTGCATTATACAACTGTAATTCTAGCATTTCAGAGGCTGGGAGATTATTGCAACTCTGAGGCCAACTTGGGCTACATAAAGGGTTCCAGGTTAGTCCAGGCAGAAATACATAGTGAAACTATCGGGAGAGAGAGAAAGAAAAGGAAAGAAAGAAAGAAAGGAAGGAAGGAAAAGAAGGGAGGGACAAAGAGAGGAGAAAAATCACGCTGTTCTTGAATTCAAAATAGCAAGCAGACTTAGGAAGGTACCTGGCCAGTAAGCTCTTGTTTTTTTGTTTTTTTTTCTCTGTAGACCAGGCTGGTCTCGAACTCAGAGATCCTCCTGCCTCTGCCTCCTAAGTGCTGGGATTAAAGGTGTGCATTACCACCACCTAGATGCTATTGCCTTTCTAAAAAAATCTTAACCACGGGGGTAGGAGAGATGGCTCATTGGTTAAGAGCACTGGCTGTTCTTCCACAGGTTCTGAGTTCAAGTCCCAGCACCCACAGGGTGGCTCACAGTCATCTGTAATGAGATCTGGTGCCCTCTTCTGGCCTGCAGGCATACATGCAGACAGAACACTATACAGAATAAATAAATCTTTAAAAAAAAAATCTTACTCATGTATGATATGCTCATGAGCACACTGTGTGTGTGTTGGGTGCAGGCTTCTGCACAGTGCACATGTGGGGTCAGAAGACAGTATCTGGGGCTGCTTCTCTCCTTCCACTCTTACCTGGCTTGCAGAGATCAAACTCAGGTCATCAGGCTTATGTGGCCAGAGCTTTGTTGATGAGCCACCTTTCTGCTCCCTGTACTGAGAATATGTAGGCCAGGCTGGGATACCTTATGGTCCCCAGTGCTGGGATTACAGGTGACTCAAATTTCATGTACTGTCCTCTTCAAGAGGTGCTTGCTCATGCAGGGAACATGTCTGAATCTCAGACATGTTTCCTGTCCCTGTAACACTCCTATATTTTAGGCCTATTAGTGCAATGCCTTGGAAATATGAGCATCCAGTGTCCACACAAACAGGGAAGACAAGGCTTAGGAACTGGCGATCTGTCTACTGTCCCAACAAGGACGAAGGAGTGGACACAATTCGGTGAATTCCACTGTAGTGTTATGGCTGTCACCAGAAATGACCTAGCTTTTGGGCTAGGGTAGCCCCAGCTGTCCTGGAATTCACCTGCCTCTGCCTCTCTGCCTCTCTGCCTCTCTGCCTCTCTGCCTCTGCCTCTGCCTCCCAGGTGCTGGGATTAAAGGCATGGACCACCATGCCCGGCATGCTGTATTTGTTCTTACTCTGCTAATATCAGACCTTAAGAACAGTATTAAGGACACCCAGGGGCTGTTGGAAGTTGGGGGTGACTCTAGCCTGGGTCCCAATCTTCTGTCTATCTGTCTGGCTTCTAAAGGGAAAGGTCTGGGTCTTGAGACACAAGGAGCCATTGGACCTCACCAGGACAGTATGATATCCGTGAGTGTCTCTGCTGTGGTGAAGAAGGCGAAGACAATCCAGTACATCATCCATTTGACCTGGGGAACAAAGTGCGGCATTAAATGGGGTCCAGGACCAAGGCTATGTAAGCACTAAGGTCCCTGGCTGCCAGCTCTGAATACCCTGAATACCTGGGCTAAGCCAAGGAAACCCAGGACCCCATGTTGCTGCCTGCTCTCTACTGAAGTCCTGGGAGAAAGTTCCCCAGGACCTTTGTCAATCACAGCAAGCCTGGGTGGAGACTAGGGAACATCCTAGAACCTCTTTTGTTCAGGGTTTTGTTGGATACATGGCAAGAAGCCATAGTCTCCCCCCCCCCCGCTGTAATGTGACAAAATGCCCCCCCATGTTTGTTAATCGGGAGCATACTGTTCACTTACATATTCCTTCACGTTTTTGGTCTTCACGGCCTTGTAGGAAGAGTAGGCTGGGTACAGGGTGCCAAAGATGAGCCTAGGGAGGCAGGCATGGTTACTGGGCCCTCCTCCCTCCCACCCCTGCATCAGCCCTTGGGGGGCTAAGGTGCAAAGGACAGAGCTCAGCTGGTTGAGGAGCCCTAGCCAAGGACTAAGGTCAGAATAGTAAAGACTCGAAGATCACATCCAGCCTGGGTGAGTGAAGCCCTTTCCCTAGACCCAGAGGCTAGAGGATCCAAAGTGGTCCCTTCAGCCAGAATCCTTGGCAATACACAAACATGTTTTGGGAATTAAGGGGGCTGGTCACTGCCATGAGATGTCTTCCTTCTTGGTCTAATGCCCACTCAACCCATCTGTTCATACTCTCCACTTCCTTGTCTCAGAGACAGGCTGGGTAGAACCAATTCTCCAAGAGAACCTAACATCACCTAACAGGCACCCAACTTGGCAGTCAGAACTATTGTGATCTTGGGACCAGAGGGCACAGGTTCAGGAGGCCCTGAAAGAGACAAAGAGGTTTATAACCCCATGTCAAAATGATCTGAGGTCAGGTACAGTTAAGACCCTGTCTGAGCATCCCACTGTAGATTACAGAAAGGACATCAGTGGGGGGGGGGGGAGGGTTGCCCAGGCCAAGAGAGAACCAATCATCCGGAATGCCACGCGGAGAGATAAGGCCACTAGCGGGTGGGAAGAGGAAACCCCAATGGGCTGAGAGGAAACCAGGACACAGGCCTGTGACAACACTGACTGGGAAGAAGGGTGGGGTTTCTGGTATGCCAGTCCTGATGGAGGCTGAAGGGCAGAACCTAGAGGAAGGGTTGGCTCTGAAGCCCGGCCCCTTCAAGTGTGGGTGTTGTCAAGACAGGGCATTCGCTGCCCGTGCTCATGCTGGATAGTGGGACAGAATCCTCAAGGCCAACATTTTAGACTTGTGTGTTTGGGGGAGGGAGGTATTTCTTCCTGTATCCGGGGGAGGTGCCAGGGCCATAGCTCCACAATGTGACTGTTACAATGTGTCTGGGATCAAGGCTACCGAATGTTTTCCCAATCCTAGGCAGATAATAGACAGCCATCCTGTTACCTCCCCACACTTTGTCCTTCAAGCACCTCGGCTTCCAGGCCCAGCCTTCCTTTCTGGATGCCTAGGGCAGGTGTCCTCATCCAGTCTCTAGCCGGGGAAGCAGGAGGAAAGTCTGAAAGCTTTGGGATCTGAGCTCTGGAATGATGAGGCCCCTGTCATGCTCCCCACTGTCTTACTCTCTTCCCGAGGGAAAGGAAAGTCTTGTATGCTGGGCTCCTGCAGCCTAGATCTGCTCAGTGGGGGAGGGGATGTGCCCGCCTCCCCTTATAAATCAGTAGCTGCTCAGCATCTAGAATGGGGGAGGGCTCAGGAGCAAGGCAATTAAGAATAAACGGGTTTTAAAAATAATATGGGTGAGGTCTCTGGGAAACCAGGCCTGTATACTCCCGTAATGCTCCCCTTCCAGTCTTCGGTCTCACATCTCTGTCTCTGGGGACATCACGTACGGACCCTAGGCTAATCCATCCCAGGCTTGAATACCGCGCCCTCCATCACCGGCCCCCCTCATCCCCCACCGGGCGAGCCCCGCTACCGCCTCGGCACTCACACCACCAGGCGAGAGATGATCCAGGACACCATGGCGGGGCGGGGACCCAGCCCGGGCGAGGATGCAGCTGCCCGAGGCCGTCGGTGGAGGCAGCAGGAGCTGCAGTTAGCAGCGGCAGCCGCTGTGGGGTCAGCAGAGCGCGGAGTTGCCGCCGTTAAAGGGGAGGTTCCTGCCGCAGCAGCGGGCCGTGGGCGGTGGCGGCTCTTAAAGGGGAGGCCGCGGTGTCGGCGCGCCCCCCCAGCACCTGCTGTGGCTGGGCATGCGCCTTCACCCTTAGTGCCCAGCCTGCCTCTATATCGCTAGATCATTTTCTTTGAGCTTCAAGGTGGAGGCGAAGCTCCCTGCGGGGACCCTTTTGGTTCCATCCTTTTGACTTTAGCTTCGGCCCACCTCCGGCCCTGCCCACATCAGGTTGAAGGCCTCAAGATCCCACCAGGAGCAACAGCTGCTTTAGTGCTTAACTGCCAGGCCCTGTGCTTAGAGCTTTGTATGTTATTCCATTGAATCCTCACAGCTACCCTATAAGGCAGAAGTTATAGTTAACCCTCATCTTGAAGGTGGGTGTTATTGGTTTCACTGCTATGCTGAGGGGCACAAAACCACTGAATCATACTTGTTACGATATAAAAACAAGTTTATTTTACAGGCTACATGCTCCAAACACTGACCATCAAACTCTCCTCCCCCATTACAGGCTCCAGGATGTCCACCTGGGCTCCCGGGCCAGGCGTAGCTGCACCTGTCCACTCCACGCCTCATCAATAACCGCCAAATCCCAGGTAAAAGGGAATTTGTCCACATGGTTTGATCGGACTTTTGGATGGTAAATTGTGCTAGGGTTAGGGATATGTGAAATTTAATTTCATGGGGAGGGGATAGGAGAGAGAGGAGTCTCAAGTCAGTAAAAAGTTCAGAGACCTCAGCTCCACCCCCATCAGAAAGTACAATTGGTAGTGGATGTCCTATTTTTGAAGACATTTATATCCAGAATGTAGGCTAGCTCGCCTCCTGATTTTCACCAAAGCAACTACATTCCAGAGCAGCCCCTCCACTGCCCTCCTTCCCCGTCCCATTTTACAGCTGCTATATCCTGGCACCTTTATGTTGAGGTATAATCCTTTTGGAGGACCACACTATTAAAATGTCCCAACCAGGCTGTAAGGGCATGCTCAGAGTTCTGTATTTCAAAGACTCATACCCAAACCTACCAGCTTTGAAAAACACAAATGGTCTATTTATAGCTTGATAATTATGTTTCCAGGCTCACATGCTTTGGAAGGTGTTTTCAAACAGGTTTCAGAGAAGCAGACCTCTGAGGATGCCTCTTGCTTTTCTGTGTAACTTCCTTCCCAAAAGACCTCTTTTAACTAGAATGTAGTCTGTCCTTACCCAGCAAGAACAGTTTTAATTTTGCTTAATAAACAACCCCAGTTGGGTCCTCTTCCGCCATTTCTGAGGCAATGCAGAGCCGCACACTTTATGGTGTGCAGTCGGATGACCTCACAGCCTCGCCTGGAGCTGTGCTCAGGCTGTACATTAGGGCGCTGTTCTCTCCTCATCCTGCACCCTAAAGGAAGGAGGACCCCACTTATCCCTCTTTCTTCACTGAGCATGAACTTTAGGGAAACAACCCTCCACCCACCAGCCAACTCAGGTGGTTCCTCGCTAGTCTCTCACTGGGCACGTTCCTTCTCTAACTAAGCACAACTCAACAGCAAAGAGTGATCAGATCATTATGCGCAGGGCAGCAGGATGCCCTGAAACCAACTGCATCTCTGACAGCCCACAGTGTAGCCTTGACTTTAGAAAAGTTGGCACAGAAAGAATTTTGTCTGCTCCAAACAGATTTGTTAGATTTTTTAATAAGAACATGGAAATCCCAATCAGCCCTTCAATAAAATTAAAGTACAGAAAGTGAAATTAAAAGTATTCTACAGTAAATGACTTTTATTAAAAAAAAAAAAAAAGGTGACTGTGAACATATAAACAAGGCTGCAGGGCAGTGCGCCCGGAGAGATACATTTCCCATGTACCTATGGGCCAGCGAATTCCGTAATTCCCAAGTAAATTCTTAATAAAAACTCCACTGAGTTGTAAAGTTTTGCTGAAAATAATTTCAGACAAAACTCTAAAAAACAAAAAACTCTTATATTGGAAACCAAACTTTCCACCCCATTTGGAAACATATGCAGAGTCCAAGGGAACGCTGGTAGTCGGCAAACAGATCCCGGAGTCAGTGGTGTGCACGCAGGGAATGCTCCACAGCTCAGACATGACACAGTTCTTTCTCAGACAACTGTTCCCTCAAGATAAGACTGAAAGGGAGGGGAGAAACTAAAAGGATTCTAGTAAAATGCCAATTCTTTCAAATTACGCTTTGGCTGATTTTGTGCTATAAGGGACAGCTGATTTCTAAAAGTCATATCTTTCAAAGAGTTTTATTGAAAGGAAGACTAAAGTAATGTGCCTTTCCTCGTAGTCCAGGAAAACAACTGTGTTATTTCAAAAGTTCTAAAAATAACTACTTTCATGAAATAGTAACTATTTCACTACAAACCTAGTTCTCACTAAATACACACGTTTCCTAATCCTGGAGCCTCCTGGGAAAAGTTGTAGACTCTCCCTGGGTCTTGAAGACTCCATGTTCACAGAGAGTTATGGGGAATGGCTGCACCCCATCTCCTGGGATGGACCAGGTCAGAAAGTCATGTGCAGAGACATGGCCGGGCTTCCACCAGGTACATTGTATCACCTTACTTTACCAGTTATGACTTCCTCCGTCTCCACAGTCCCACTGAGCTAGGCACAAGAGGAACAGAGAAGGAAGGTGTGCCCACATTCCTGGTTTCCATGGTCTCCAACCAGGAGATGTGCAGGAAAGCTCAGTGATGTTCAAGCAACCTGGATTCCCAAAAGGCCACTGGATGGAATGTGGCACCCTCAGCTTCGAGTCTGAAACTGTGTGTGTGAACAGTGCGATTTTCTTGTGTCAACCTTCAGTGTTGAGGCAGCATAGAAAGAGCGGCTGGAGAGTTTGTAATACTGACCACACTGGCTTGGGGAAGGGCCTCTGCTCCCGCAGAGAGCCCTGCCGTTCCCTGGTAAGTGTTGTGAAAGGCCTGCTCCACAGGAGAGCTGGAAGTTCCCCATGCCTTAAGACCTTGCCAGTTTGGATTCGTGGGCCTTGAGCGTGCCAACAGCATCTTTCACTGCGTGGTATATGATGTTCTTCACCTGGAGAAGAATTAGCACTGTCAGTTCAGGGCAGCTCACAAATGCAGGTCTATATCCTACTCTGACAAGCTTACTGAAAAGCCAATGAGGGACGCCCCAGCTGTGTTCTTCCCAAATCAAGCCCCATGATGAGTTACAAGTCATTCAGGATATGAGGTCCACACTCAAGAAAGAATGTATATAGTCATCATCACTCCCGTTCTCACTAGGTGTTGGACAGTGTCACTAAGCTATTATGTGGATTTCTAGTTAATCTGTGCCATGAGCCTATGAAGTACACTTATTTTATCATAAGCTTTGTTTAAAGACACTGAGAAAATCAAGTTCCAGGGAACTGAAGCTGGGCACAGAGGCACATGTCTGTAATTCCAATGGTTGAGGTCAACCTGGAATAAAGACTGTCCAAAATACCCTTGCCCAAGACCCCACAGCAATAAACAGTGGGAGTGGGTAGGCAATGAGCTGTTTTTCCTACTGCATGCAGGTTGGTTCCCTTCTTCCACCCTGTGGGTTCAGTAATTAGACTCAGATGCTTTCACCCACCAAGCCACCCTGCCTGTTCCCCTCCCCCCTTGAGACAGGGTCTTACTATTTAGCCAAGCCTGGCCTCTAACTTGATCTTCCTGATTTAGATTCACAAGTAATGGGATTACAAGAATGTGACAGCAGGTCTAGAGCTTATGTTCACACAATTTGTCTAAGACACAATTTTACATGTGACATTGGAAGATTTAATTAAAGCTATTAAAATAAATTGACAGGCTAAAAACTTTAAAGAACTGACAAGATGATTAATATTTCTAGGGTAGAAAAGTGAGGTAAGACAAAAAGGGAAGGACACACTGGTACTTTACGATGTTGTCTATGTACATATGTGTATTTCATGCATACGTATGACTTCTTACTTCACAAAAACAGGAGGCTCTTGATGGGTATACAAGATGTCCTGGGCCTCTACTGATCGTTTTCTATTACTTAACAAAAATGCACTGTGAGCTGCGTTTCAGATTTGTGCTAGGGAAAGTTGTCAAACAAATTTCTGCCTTCACAAAGCTAATTAAGTTTTACAATTTAGCAAACTAGCAATGAACAAGTTAAAGAACACAGTTATGTCAGATGGTGAAAACCATTACAGAAAAGAACAAAGTGATCAACGGGACCTGAAAGTTGACGCTATTATTGTATTATTTCTAGATTTACATGTACATGTGTGCACACACTGAGCACCACAGGGCAAGTGTGGGGGTCAGAAGAGAACAGGTGGGAGCTCTCTTCCTTACCACATGGGTCTTGGACTCAGATCCAGGCTATAGGACTTGGTAACAGGTGCTTTTATTGCTGAGCCACCATGCTGACCCCAATGCTGTTATTTATTAATTTGTAATAAACTATTTATTTTTATTTTATTGTATTGTGTGTCTGCATGTATACCATTACATAGGCCAGTGCTGCAGATGCCAGGGGAGGGTATCAAATCCCCTGGAACTGGAGTTACAGGCAGTTGTGAGCCTTGTGAACCAAACCCAGGTTCTCTGCATCAGCAGCGTATGGTTTTTTTGAGACAGGATTTCTGTAAAACAGCCTCGGCTGTCCTGAAACTTATTCTGTCAGACAGGCTGGTCTCAAATGAGATATCCCGCCTGCCTCTGACTCCTAAGTGTTGGGATTAAAGGCATGTGCCGCCATGCCTGGCTAGCATGTGTTCTTAACCTCTGAGCCATCTCTGAAGCCCCAGATGCTATTAAAAAAAAAGGTTAAAAGGAGGCTGAAGAATTGGCTCAGTGGTAAAGGGTACATTCTGTTCTCCTAGAACACTTCCAGTACCAGAGTTACTGTCCAGAACTTTGGCCCCAGAGGATCCAATGCCTTCTCCTTCCTTTGGAAAAACAAAAAATGCTGGGTAGTGGTGGTGTACACCTTTAATCCCAGCACTAGGGAGGCAGAGACAGGCAAATCTCTGTGAGTTCGAGGCCAACCTGGTCTACAAGAGCTAGTTCCAGGACAGCCAGGGCAGTTACATAAAGAAACCCTGTCTCGAAAATAAACAATCAAAGACTTATTTATTTATTTAATGTATATGAGTGCTCTATCTGCATGTATAACTTTAGGCCAGAAGAGGGTACAAGATCTCACTATAAATAGTTGTGAGCCACCATGTGGTTGCTGGGAATTGAACTCAGGACCTCTGGAAAAGCAATCAATACTCTTAACTGCTGGCCTCTACTGGTACACACACACACACACACACACACACACACACACACACACACACACA